ATACACACACACACACACACACACACACACACACACACACACATTAATCACAGTCCATTTTGAATACATAACAGAAAAAAGATAATACTGTTGGCCCCTGTCAAGCAGCGCTTATTTGTCATGTCCTGGATAGAAGGAAGTGCAGTTCCAACAATTGTAAATGGCTCCTTTTTAGTTTGATGAAGAACAGCCTTCACCTCATTTTGGCCTTGAAGAAAACAAGGAGACCCTTAATGCCTGGAGCATTAAGTCAAGAGCTGTGAAGAAGAACAGCTGAAGGAGAAAGGCTGGATCCAGCCAACTCTTGAGAATTTCCCATGGAAGCCCTGCAGTCCATCTACAGAGATTTCATCGAAGGCAGCCAGTGAACAGGGGGAAAGAATAATGTTGATTAATCTGCATGTGCATAGGAAGTAGTACATGATTTATAAGTCTCTGGGAAGTCAGGGTAGGTCACAACTCTTCCTGTTACTGAGATGATCCCTCCTTCCTCTGTTGGCTGCACTTACAGCTCATTGCTGCTTGATGGGTGGGCTGAAACATTTGGCGTAAGCAATGCGATGTACTAGTGCAGAGGTCTCCAACCTTGGCAACTTTAAGACTAGTGGACTTCAACTCCCAGAATTCTCCAGCCAGCACTGGAGAATTCTGGGAGTTGAAGTCCACAAGTCTTAAAGCTGCCAAGGTTGGAGACCTCTGTTCTAGTGGACCATAAGGAGGGAAATGTAGTTTTCTGGTATGTACAGTAGCTATGATGAGCCTCAGACTCCTAACTCTGAGAGATACACAAGCAGGACACAGTTGCCCTCGCACCTCACTTTAATTTTGACAACTGAGATTGAAGGGTAAGTTTCCCTGTCCAGTCGTGTTTGACTCTAGGGTGAGGTGCTCATCTCCATTTCTTGGCCAAGGGAGCCCAGGGTTGTCCAAAGACATTTTCTGTGGTCATGTGGCCAGCATGGCTGTATGCTGAGGCACATTGAATACCGTTACCGTCCCACTGAAGTGGTACTTATTTATCTACTTGCATTTGTATGCTTTCAAACTGGTAGATGGGGCAAGGAATGGGAGCTCACCCCATTGTGTGGTATTCAGGTCTTGAACTTTATTATTACCTTTAATGTCAGAGTACAATGTATAGAGTATAATGAGATTGGCTAACAAGCTCTTTAACCACTGAGCCATTGCGGCCCCAATTGTACCATATGATTATTCCATGAATGTGCTGAACTCTCTTGTAAAAACCTTCCAAATTGGTGGTCATTCCTATCTGATATAGCTGCAAATATCTTTATTGACTTACGGACAGATTCCAAATTCTGTCCTTTTTTTCTTTTCTTTTTTGGTAATCTCTTCTGAATGTTTATTTCTTTAGCAGTGTGCTGTGATCCTAGGCTCTAAATTTCTGGGAAGTGGAGAGAAATAGTTCCTATAATAATTTCCCAAATGTAAAATTGGTGTCGTTTTGCCTGGGTTTTCCACCTGCTAGATTTCAAGTATAAATGACTGTTTTCTAAGTTTGGATGTTACAGTGTTGGGTTAAAAGCAGAAATTCCTGATCTGTCCCCCACGGCATAAAAAGGGTGGATCCCAATGTTGGTGGTCTCTTTATTAAAATTTAGTGCACTGTACAGATGTATCTACTGGATTACTGTCAGCCAAACCTTTTAACCCCTTCTT